TAGTTCCTCAGCAAAAGACATTGAAATGTGTAGATGGGGAAGGCAGAAGTGAGAAATATCAGCTGCCTTCCATTTGGTTCTCGACATTTGCCTCAGTTCCTATTAACCACCAGTAAAATTCGTATTTTCCATACAACGTTTTCCCCCAAATATGCAATTTCCTCAATTTTTTGTTTGTTTTTGCCTGATATTCTCTGGAATAGTTCCTCAGCAAAAGACATTGAAATGTGTAGATGGGGAAGGCAGAAGTGAGAAATATCAGCTGCCTTCCATTTGGTTCTCGACATTTGCCTCAGTTCCTATTAACCACCAGTAAAATTCGTATTTTCCATACAACGTTTTCCCCCAAATATGCAATTTCCTCACAATTGGTGCAAGTGCAGTTCCATTTGGTTCTCGACATTTGCCTCAGTTTCCCCAAATATCCAATTTCCTCACAATTGGTGTGAGTGCAGCAGGATGAATTGTAGCAGCAAATTGCGGCTAGTTAACCAGTCGCCACTTGTATCCTTTGTTGGACACCAGCTCTGTGACTGGCACAAGACAAGGCACAGAAGCAGCAACTTAAGTACTAGTGGCAATTAGCAGCTACAATTTGCTCCATTGCACTTAACACCAGTACAACTAGCTGACAGAATTCAACTACACTTAAGTAATACTGGAAATACAATATGTGCCTACCTTTAAGGGATATTTATAGAGGAAATGCAATGAGCTGTTCTAAGTTACATGAACAAGAGCTCTCTATATCATCTTTGTACTAGCTATAGGCCTATAAAACACCATAGAGCACATGCACATATCACATCATCGACAGTACATTGTGTGTTGGCTCTTTTTCTGAACATACTGTATTGTTATAAGAACAAATAAAACTTTACCTCCTATCATTCCTGCCAGCATGGCATACGCTAAGCAAACTGCAAAGAGAAGCAATAGCTCAGAGATATCCTTAGTCTTGGCTCGGTCTCTTTATGCACTCTTTCTCTCTCCACCCCTTCCTTTGCCCCCCCCACCCGGCAACATGAAGGGAAAATGTGTTGAGAAGGAGAATAAACTGCCAGACTATTAATCTCCTGATAGTAGAAGAGCTGCATTCAGCTGTATATTTCCAAAGATTTCTGAACTCCGAAAGGAAGTTTGAAGGTTTCTCCACAAAAGGCTCAGATAGAGTCAACCCATTCTCCATCAATATACACTTATGTCGATTTGTATCCAAATTAGTAGGCAGCTCAGCATTGGATGGATTACTGTGAGGTTTGCTCATGGAGCCCATTTGCTGTACTTCGTTGGAAAGTATCATATGATGAATGTGGCAAGGTAAACTTCCAGAAAATTGCACCTAGGCAGGACCTCAGGTTTTCTGGTATTTAAAAAAAAGCATTGCATTTAAGAATTGAAATACATTAAACCCACCCCAATCTGAAATGGAAAATGGAAAACCCTGAAGCACCATTAGTTTTAGCCTTATTTTAAGTTCAGCATTAGCAAGCACTGGGAGCAGCGTTTTATACACCTATGTCAATTTTCTATTTCTTCAGAAAGGAATACTCATGGTAAAAAGGACATAATTAGGTGATGAAGATGATGAGGCACCTGATTCTTTCAATAGCATTTACCCTGCATTGCCATCTAGTGTCAAGTAACAAAATCAGATGAATACAGTAGACATAACAGAAAGTCATGGTTCAAGCTCCAACCTGTTTGCATACCAATGTTGTTTTTTTTTTTATTATTATAAATAAAGCACAAACATCCCTGAATGCAGGAATACATCCTATAGAATATTTTAAAGAGTGGTTGTAGAAAGCCATGGGAAGGAATGAAACATTATCCTTCTTTTAACCCTTCCCCTTCACTCCTCTCATATTTTCATTCATAGCTCAAACTGAAGGATAAAGAAACAATACTGTAAATCACCTTTTTAAAGGAGATGCTGTTACATTCATTATTCTTGTTGATATGTCCCATCAAATTAGGACCAACTTATAAAGATGCTAATAGGGCTGTAAAGGTAAGTGAGATATTTAAGGAGTTGCTTTATCAGTTCTACTCTGCCAATCAGTTTCCATGACTAAGTGGAGATTCAAACCCAGGCCTCCTGAGTTGTAGTCATCACTCTGTCCACTACACTTGACTGGTTGGCATTACATTCATTACTTTCTGTAAAATATACGTACAGTCAAATAATGCCCTCTAGTATTATCATTCTGCACAAAGCAATGCCACAATGCAAAGAGTACATCTATATTCAAGACTCACATCTGAGTTACACTGACAGTTGCCAATGAAGTGAGTGCTACTCATGTAGTTGTTAACTGGACTGAGATCCTTGGATCCATGAAACATTTCGGAGAAACCCTGTCACAAGCTGGCTAGCAAGTTCTCAGAGTTGTGGTGGCAAGTTATGTCCACATTGACAAAACAATTCCATTTAATATCATTTCTGCTGCTGCACTGTGTGGAGTCTTGCCAGGGCAAGTGTCAAGGGTGGCACCATCAAGCACAAACGGTGTTTATTCGTTCTGTTTACATTTTCAAATCTCTATCAGGCAGTTTCAAAGCCATCTTGTCAATTTCAGAATCAAACCAGTTCCATTTCAATATCACACACCTGCAGAATCTCAGGTGTAGAATGAGGTGGTACTGCCATCTTGTGACTCTTCTGCAAACTATCAAGAGCACAAGCAAGACTTTTACATCATCAGCAGCTTCTCCTACCTTTTGTATACATACTCTGCGTGGCTGTCTATATTTTCAGAGCTTGGAAAAGGTGATTTTTGGATTTCAGTGTCCTGAAGAACACCACCAGCATGATCATTGGCTATGCTGGTTGGGGAAATCTGGAAGTTGTAGTTCAAGTAACTTTTGCAAGCTCTGCATATTTTTGAGTCTGAAGACAGCTGCAAAGGTTCACACCTAATTACACTGGAAAAAGTCACTTTAATGGAAGCAATGTCCCTTCATGACATTTCTGCTGGGTCATTGCTCCAGCTGAGTTCCAAAAAGTAGAATCCCTAAAGCTGGACTAAAAGGTCCAGCCTGGGCATGGATCAGGGTCAGGCTGGAGTACATCTCCCCATGTGTTGTATGATTGCAGGGAAACAGATCACACCAGACCATTCCACAAGTGGTCCAAATTGCAACCTGTTTCACTGAGTGATCACACCCTGAGCTACGCCACACAGTTTCCCTTGGTGGCCCAGCACATGATAAAGAGGAAGCTAGCAACCGGATGTGCACATAGGCTGGAGAATATTATGTGCTCTAGCTTTGGAGAAGAGAGAGGCCATCTTGGGCTCATGGGATCTTGTTGGATTGCTACTCCCACCATCTCTTGCAGCTGACTGCTTTGGACAGAGCTGATGGAAGACATAATACAACACCATCTGGGGATCACACACTGCTGTGCTGTGCTTACACTATGCTGCTGTTATACTAGGCTTCCTTTCTTTATAGTCCACATGCCCAGATTTAAAATAGGAGTGATGTGCTCAAGATCACATGAGAAAGACTGCTATGAAGTCAAGTGGTGTTTTCCCATAAACCAAACAGGGTTGTTTTTTTCTATAGGTCAACAGGGCATTTACGATCCTAGTGCATGGTCATTAGTGAATCACAACATCTGAGTTTGGTTTGAGTGTGCATGTGCATATATTTACATCTAAAAAGGGAAGGAAAATAAAACATGAAAGGAGACTACTGTCATGCAGTTATACATCACCACCCCAGGCAATCATTTCAGTAAGTGACTAGCCCTCTGTGACCCACATTAAGGCTATTAAAACAGTATTTACAAAAACAACAGGCGAGGGAAAGAACGTCAGCGAGAACAGTTGAGAACCAAGGCCTGCAGCATTTTAGTAATAAATAGAGATGGTTAGTTTATTTATGGCATCTACATTCCACCCCACTGCTATTAAAAAGACTCCTTAGGGCCACTAAAAATATACAAAGACTGTCTATAAGATGTCCTATAACATGCAAATTGATAAAGGTATTTGAAAAAGCACAGCTATACAACCAGGAGGACTAAAAATCTCAAGAAAATAAAGGAAAATGAAAACTGAAAAAATGAATTAAAATACTCCAAAGATTTCCACAGATCTTCCATAAACAAGCCATGAGGGGCTGTCAAGGCATTATTATATGGATATATCATTGCCACAAACCTACTATGGATTAATACAGCACATTTTTAGAAGGTATAGTGACCTCAAGTATGAGAATGCCTTAAGCCAGAAGTCAGAGATAAAAAGGTTTTCTGCCTCTTGTGGTAACATAGTTTAACCTCAGACAACACTGATATCCAATGGTAAACTAGTACATAGATGGACATTAGAATAAAAAATAAGAAACAATGTCAGCAAGCAATTCATTAATGCGAGTTTGGATCATAATGCTTCTGTTATCCGTTCTGTCTGCCCCTCAAAAATCTATAGAATTATCATGTCCTTTAATTTTATCTGGTCCCCTTCCTTCTATCAGGTTAGAATAATGAGATAGCTGAGGATCTATTTCTACCACAAAGGTACTATGGATTAATAAAGTAAAGTTTGTTAAATTTCCCTTCCTTCTTCAAACGCCTTATAGTAATGTGCCTCACAGTTTGGGAAACTAGATACTCACGTAGTTTCATCCCACCCCCTGACATCAGGACCTACTGTGGAATCCATGTATCCCCTCTCTTTAAAATTTCCTGCACTTGATGTGGCAAATGTCAGCAATATAATAACAACAACAACAACAACAACAATAATAATAATTAATAATTAATAATAATGAATAATAATTAATAATATCTGGAAGAAATACACATGGCATTGAAGCAAACAATGGGATACATCATCCACAGAACATGGAGTAAAAGGTGGGAATCATTCTGCAGCATTTATAAAAAAACTTCTTCACATTTTGTTTACAGATAAAATTTATGCCAACATTAAGTCCTTGTGCTTCCTCCTTCTTTCTACAAGGGAATGACACAGAATAACTCCTACCAATTGTTGTTACTGCAGAAACAGAGAAGAAGAAAGAGCCAACAAAGTCCCATCTGCCAAGAGTTGTATTTCCTTTAACGTATAGTCCACTCTTGTAGGCCTGGATGATGCCCTGCAAAAAGAGCAGAGGAGATGAGGAAGAATAAGGGTGAAAATTTCTGTCTGCAGGATAGCTAAGATCCAGAACCTAGTACACACTTTCCTAATGAGTAACTATGTTACTGAACATGCCAACATCTGCTTCTGAAGAACCAGGGTTACGTGTTTAGTGGCATGACAACACGCAATTGCTGTTCCCAGCAAGAATAGATGTATTGAATCAATGAGATCTAGGTAAGTGTTAACTTTTTATTCAGCAATTGACTCAAAGGGACTACTCTAGTTGATACTAGCAATTAGATTAACACCTACAACTTTACATTCTTTAAATATTGAACACAAGTCAAGCTATGAGTGTTGTAGTGATTAATAGAAGTAGCAGCAGCTTTAAATGAGAATGCATCAACTGAGCTTCGATGGGATGGAGAAAAGAACTGTAAAACAATACCATAAAATATCAGTCCCTAATCATCTCAGGTGTAGAATGAGGTGGTGCTGCCATCTTGTGACTCTTCTGCAAACTATCAGCACAAGCAAGACTTTTACATCATCAGCAGCTTCTCCTACCTTTTGTATACATACTCTGCGTGGCTGTCTATATTTTCAGAGCTTGGAAAAGGTGATTTTTGGATTTCAGTGTCCTGAAGAACACCACCAGCATGATCATTGGCTATGCTGGTTGGGGAAATCTGGAAGTTGTAGTTCAAGTAACTTTTCCAAGCTCTGCATATTTTTGAGTCTGAAGACAGCTGCAAAGGTTCACACCTAATTACACTGGAAAAAGTCACTTTAATGGAAGCAATGTCCCTTCATGACATTTCTGCTGGGTCATTGCTCCAGCTGAGTTCCAAAAAGTAGAATCCCTAAAGCTGGACTAAAAGGTCCAGCCTGGGCATGGATCAGGGTCAGGCTGGAGTACATCTCCCCATGTGTTGTATGATTGCAGGGAAACAGATCACACCAGACCATTCCACAAGTGGTCCAAATTGCAACCTGTTTCGCTGAGTGATCACACCCTGAGCTACGCCACAGTTTCCCTTGGTGGCCCAGCACATGATAAAGAGGAAGCTAGCAACCGGATGTGCACATAGGCTGGAGAATATTATGTGCTCTAGCTTTGGAGAAGAGAGAGGCCATCTTGGGCTCATGGGATCTTGTTGGATTGCTACTCCCACCATCTCTTGCAGCTGACTGCTTTGGACAGAGCTGATGGAAGACATAATACAACACCATCTGGGGATCACACACTGCTGTGCTGTGCTTACACTATGCTGCTGTTATACTAGGCTTCCTTTCTTTATAGTCCACATGCCCAGATTTAAAATAGGAGTGATGTGCTCAAGATCACATGAGAAAGACTGCTATGAAGTCAAGTGGTGTTTTCCCATAAACCAAACAGGGTTGTTTTTTTCTATAGGTCAACAGGGCATTTACGATCCTAGTGCATGGTCATTAGTGAATCACAACATCTGAGTTTGGTTTGAGTGTGCATGTGCATATATTTACATCTAAAAAGGGAAGGAAAATAAAACATGAAAGGAGACTACTGTCATGCAGTTATACATCACCACCCCAGGCAATCATTTCAGTAAGTGACTAGCCCTCTGTGACCCACATTAAGGCTATTAAAACAGTATTTACAAAAACAACAGGCGAGGGAAAGAACGTCAGCGAGAACAGTTGAGAACCAAGGCCTGCAGCATTTTAGTAATAAATAGAGATGGTTAGTTTATTTATGGCATCTACATTCCACCCCACTGCTATTAAAAAGACTCCTTAGGGCCACTAAAAATATACAAAGACTGTCTATAAGATGTCCTATAACATGCAAATTGATAAAGGTATTTGAAAAAGCACAGCTATACAACCAGGAGGACTAAAAATCTCAAGAAAATAAAGGAAAATGAAAACTGAAAAAATGAATTAAAATACTCCAAAGATTTCCACAGATCTTCCATAAACAAGCCATGAGGGGCTGTCAAGGCATTATTATATGGATATATCATTGCCACAAACCTACTATGGATTAATACAGCACATTTTTAGAAGGTATAGTGACCTCAAGTATGAGAATGCCTTAAGCCAGAAGTCAGAGATAAAAAGGTTTTCTGCCTCTTGTGGTAACATAGTTTAACCTCAGACAACACTGATATCCAATGGTAAACTAGTACATAGATGGACATTAGAATAAAAAATAAGAAACAATGTCAGCAAGCAATTCATTAATGCGAGTTTGGATCATAATGCTTCTGTTATCCGTTCTGTCTGCCCCTCAAAAATCTATAGAATTATCATGTCCTTTAATTTTATCTGGTCCCCTTCCTTCTATCAGGTTAGAATAATGAGATAGCTGAGGATCTATTTCTACCACAAAGGTACTATGGATTAATAAAGTAAAGTTTGTTAAATTTCCCTTCCTTCTTCAAACGCCTTATAGTAATGTGCCTCACAGTTTGGGAAACTAGATACTCACGTAGTTTCATCCCATCCCCTGACATCAGGATCTACTGTGGAATCCATGTATCCCCTCTCTTTAAAATTTCCTGCACTTGATGTGGCAAATGTCAGCAATATAACAACAACAACAACAACAACAACAATAATAATAATTAATAATTAATAATAATGAATAATAATTAATAATATCTGGAAGAAATACACATGGCATTGAAGCAAACAATGGGATACATCATCCACAGAACATGGAGTAAAAGGTGGGAATCATTCTGCAGCATTTATAAAAAAAAACTTCTTCACATTTTGTTTACAGATAAAATTTATGCCAACATTAAGTCCTTGTGCTTCCTCCTTCTTTCTACAAGGGAATGACACAGAATAACTCCTACCAATTGTTGTTACTGCAGAAACAGAGAAGAAGAAAGAGCCAACAAAGTCCCATCTGCCAAGAGTTGTATTTCCTTTAACGTATAGTCCACTCTTGTAGGCCTGGATGATGCCCTGCAAAAAGAGCAGAGGAGATGAGGAAGAATAAGGGTGAAAATTTCTGTCTGCAGGATAGCTAAGATCCAGAACCTAGTACACACTTTCCTAATGAGTAACTATGTTACTGAACATGCCAACATCTGCTTCTGAAGAACCAGGGTTACGTGTTTAGTGGCATGACAACACGCAATTGCTGTTCCCAGCAAGAATAGATGTATTGAATCAATGAGATCTAGGTAAGTGTTAACTTTTTATTCAGCAATTGACTCAAAGGGACTACTCTAGTTGATACTAGCAATTAGATTAACACCTACAACTTTACGTTCTTTAAATATTGAACACAAGTCAAGCTATGAGTGTTGTAGTGATTAATAGAAGTAGCAGCAGCTTTAAATGAGAATGCATCAACTGAGCTTCGATGGGATGGAGAAAAGAACTGTAAAACAATACCATAAAATATCAGTCCCTAAATACAAAATTCATGGGGATTAAAATGATTCATTCACTAGTTTACACCATCCCACAGTTTAAAAGAGCAATTTAAACATCCAGAAAAATAAAAATATACCCACCTGGCTCCTAGACAAATATAGTATTGAACCCACACCACTATCTTAAGGATTGGGGTGCTGCCAAAAGCACCAAAAAAGGTTTCTCTTTTCATAAGGCACATATTTTACTAAATGAACTCAAACCAGAGTCTCATCCAGTAATCTCAATGCACAGTCATGATGATGTAGGAAGACAAGATACTCCTAAGGTAGTTGAGGTTTAAACGATTTCTAACAGGACTATGCAACCTGTGGTTCCCCGAATGTTGTGGGACTCCATTTGCCATCACTCCTAGCCAGTGGTAAAGGATTACGGGAGTGATAATTTATTAACATCTGGGAGGCACACATTCCCTATTCTAAACTCAGAATTTCCAATGTAATATTTACAAACCATGTTAACAAAACATGCTCATTGAAAACTGTAACTGCTAGTCATAGGTAAAGGTAAAGGTTCCCTGTGACATTTTTAGTCCAGTCATGTCCGACTATAGGGGGCGGTGCTCATCCCGCTTTTCAAGCCATAGAGCCAGCGTTTGTCCGAAGACAGTTTCCGTTGTCACGTGGCCAGCATGACTAGGGAACGCCGTTTTACCTTCCCACCAAGATGGTACCTATTTATCTACTCGCATTTACATGCTTTCGAACTGCTAGGTTGGCAAGGAGCTGGGACAAAGCGACAGGAGCTCACACCGTTGTGTGGATTCAATCTTATGACTGCTGGTCTTCTGACCCTGCAGCACAGGCTTCTGTGGTTTAGCCCACAGCGCCACCATGTCCCTCCAACTAGTCATACATAAGGATAAAATATTTCTCTCATTTTGTGAAAGTAAGCTGTATGCTTTCCTTCTCCCTTCTGCATTCGCTCACATTTCAGGATAATGAAAAGGCCAAGTTAAGACACAAAGTTAAGACGATATTTGGGATAATCATTTTCTCTTAATATAACTTACTTTACGGGGCTTTTTAAAGGATACAGTAGGATGGGGTTGGGAAAGAACTAAGTATACTGCATCTTGAACTCTTTGGAGGAATGGTGGATTATAACTGCATAGCACTGCAGCTATGTTATTGTGCAGGAGAACAAATCAACATTCTACAAGGCAATTTAAAAACGGGGGCAGCACAGTCAAAAGAATTATAAGCTTTTCATGGGATAGGGTCAATTGAATGCTGAAACATCAATGATAGTAGTCAGGATGCTCTACAGGATACCCTCTTCTGCTCACTACCATTCACACTTGTTGAAAACAGCCCTGACAATTTTGTTGTGTTTGCGTGAGAAGTGGTTAAATGATGAAAAATCACTTGTGTTCTAGAACAGGGTGTGACAACCCCAGACCTACTGGAGGATGCCACAGTTTCACTAAGCTGCCACCAACCATTCCCTGTAAGGAGTCACACAGACCAGGAATGGATTTTTAACAAATAAAGGAATAAGGTTTATTTAAATAACACACAGGGAAAATAAAATGATCAAGTGAATAAGATACAGTAACGTAGCTTAGTCTCAATCATA